TTCAAATTCGCGCAAAATGGAGTTAGTATAGCATTAGTATAATAAGTAGTTATAATGGCATGTATAGAATTACAAATAGACTTTGATTGAAAAACTGGTGAAAAAGGTGTGACTAGGGACCCCCTTTTCTGGTATTCAGAGGGCCGTTCAGGAAAAATTAACCATGGTTCTGTGGTTCCCGCATGTGCCCCTATATCATGCAAAAGACCGTTTTGAAAAAGCTTGGCACACCCTGAAAGACCTTCCTTGTTAGGGTGTTTAATCTGTATCGGTACTCTAAGCAAAAATGTGAAACTGTTCCGGTGCAAATGAAATGAAAATTTGGTTGTATTGGCACAGCTTTTAGTTGGTGATTTATTCTGCTTCAGATACATCACTCACTTGATGAAGCGTATTGAGAAGGGACCCGTGCGTGGTATTTCCATCAAGCTCCAAGAAGAGGAACGTGAGAGGAGAGACAACTACATGCCCGAGATCTCTGCTGTCGATGCTTCCGTGATCGGCCAACTTAAAGTTGATCCTGACACGAAACACATGTTGGAATCAATGGTAAGTTCATTCTTGTGTTTCTTTTCAAGTAGCTAAGAACGGGAATTTCACAGTGATTACAATGTGCTAGTGCCGGCAGGTTTTTAAAGAAAAAGTTCGGTCGCCATAAAATATTCAAGGTCTTCAACGTTTGAACATCCGCATTCGATGCTTAAATACTTTGTTATTCTATTCAAAAAGCTTCGGTCATGAAGATGCGAATTTAATTTGAAACCTAGGCAAATCATTTTCATACTTGTGGTAGTTCCTTCCTGCACCGAACAGCTTCCTCCCCTTGCAAATACGAGAACACCGTTACATAGACGAACTATTGCGACCCGATGCACCACTTCCCCACAATTGTGCCCTTGTAACCCTGTGTCATGTTCTAACCAACCATGTACATTAATTTCTACTAGGAGTGAGGTGGTTGGCTGGTTGGCGGTGGAATCACTACATCACCTTATAGTTTGGTGAAACAAGGGAAATTGAACTTTTTTCAATTCATTTTAAAAACTGTTAACATAAGATGTCTTGTTCTGCCTCGAGCAGAATTGCAGGGAGTGTCACCGTAAAATTTGTGTTTGCGAAAGGTAAACCTGAGGCTGTATGCATATGAACTATTACTTCTTGGTTCATTCTTTCGTGGGATTTTTCGGGAATAATGATAAGTAAAATTATATGCAAATTCGAATTAGGAGATTGAAGTGCAAAACTCAGAAAGGTGAAATAAAAACAATTTGATAAATTATACTTTTTTTCATATCGACATGGTTGCAAGAGTACGTTTTTCCACCTACTCGACTAAAAGTAACCTCGAGTTAAGCTCTTGAGAGATATAAGCGTGGTATGCATGCAGTTTCTAGCAAAATAACAAGTTGTGGGCTCTCGGTTTTCATTAGCTTTTTTAAGTAACCTAGTATCAACATAATTTTTCTGAAACCAGTGCGGATTCAATTGTCATTGGGAATGTAATATTAGGTCATTTAATTATTAAATGACTTCTGGGAACCAACTGATGCACTCGTGGTCCGTCAATTTGCCCCTCGGACAAATCTGTAGTCATGAATTCTTGAATAGGTCTGTGCTTCAGTGGATTAATGGTTTGTTCTCTGAATGGGATTCTCTTGAAAGGGTTACTTTTGCAGAGCAGTGAAGAAAAGTGCTGCTCATAGTTTTACTTCTTAATCTATATGCAAATAGCTGGATTCAGGAATGCGTATCCAATGAATGTAGGTGATGTCCTTATACGTTCTCATGAATAATTCTTGCTGCGGATAAAATTGCAAAAAAAAACATATAAGAGCGTTTCGGCTACCCATGAACTGGTCCTCATCGGTTCTTGTTATGTAGCGCGCTGTCGCCATCAATGAAAGCCAGAGCCGAAGCAGTTGCCCGACTCGGCCTTTGCCTGTTTCTTTTGCGGTTCTATGATGGCTCCAGTGTTGTCACTAGCGGGCGGAAGAATATTAACGCTGCGCAAAATGATTAAGTTTTTTAATGATCGTTGTGTTTTTTTTTGCCCACCGCTTTCCCGCTCCTAACGATGACATAAATCTTTCGGGGTAAACTTTGAGAATTCTTAACAAAGTCGGTTCAGTGTACCAATTAGTATCCAAAAGTATCCAAAAGCAGTTTTCATAACGATTTCACAGCGGAAAGTTTGAATCTCTCTGGACTGTATATGTTCATGGTTTAGAGGCGAATACCTTCTCAAAAAACAATTCGTTTGGAATCTCCTCTTTTTTCCGTTATTTTTCTTTGTTTTTAAGATTTGTCCTGTGTTTTCTACAAACCTTGTTCAACCTTACATTCTTAAAGTGACTCGGAATTTCACAAAATTTCACTCATCCCTCAGAGCGGTTCATTCTTGCTTCAACAGCTGAAAATCAACAGACTCTATCCTTGAATTTTACCCGTGTTGCGACTTAAATTTCACTGGCTCCAAGAATCTATGGAATACATCCTTTTTTGATTAGCGTTACGCAGACATTGTGCAGAGTGGGCAAAAATTGCGGTAGCAAAAGCGCTCCCGACACATCTCGAACTTCTTCAATTTTTGCAGATGAATGCTCGAGAAGACGGAGGGAAACCTCTTGGCATTACGGCAGCATAGACCACTTTCATGCAAAGCGAAGACTGTAGGTGTTTGGTGCAGCCTGTGCACCCGAACTCTGCGGGATTCATGACTGAACGGAAAGCAATCTATTTCTTTCAATTCATAAGAAATAGATTTTTGTCTGGTATTTGCTCAAGATGATGCTCTGCTCAAAGCGTCATTGAAACATCCTTAAATTGAAGAATAGACCGGGTCAAGCTTGGTGCCATCTATCTACAAAGCACATCCAGTACGATTCCGGGCAGGGTTTGTTGTGCAAAGATCAACGAGGGGGGGTCGTATTTGGCCACTAGAAAGATGGTCGTAAGCACAGGACCAGTCACAGAATTTGAAGGCTCTAAGGCTTAGCGAATTGGCAAAGGAGTACGGACTCAAATGTTATTGCGACGACAAACCATCGACACGTAAATGGCGCATCTTAGAGCAGGATTTCTTTTCATTTCTTTTCACAAAACACGTCATGTCTCAGTGCAAGACAATATTTTTTTCTTTTGGAAGAACACAAATACTTTTGTGCCACCTCCTATGGGGTAATGTTAGCGAAATCGACCGGATTGAAAGCTACTCAGTCCCAATATAAAGTTCTCTATAAGAAACTAGATTAGCTCAAACGTCTTCAGCAGAAGTTGTCTCTCGTGACAAATTCGGAGAAAAATACAACGTGGCCTCTGATATTGAAAGTGCGTCTCAAGAACATACAACCAAAAAATTCATAGAGCAAAATGAGGCGAGACAATTTCTGGAAGAAATGCTTCAATAGTTTTTATGCACTCTACAAAAACTTTGGATCTTCGTTGATTAGATATCAAAGGATTATGAAGGACAGTTATGGGCGTTCGAAAAGCCCCGCAGTTTTCAAAAAATTGGAATATATTTACATAATTTTCTCTACGCTACCATTGTTTTCTACCATCTCTATCTTTTTGTCGTCATTTTGATCAACACCTAAAGTATGCGTAGCTTTGATGTGTTCATTTGCTTCGGCCTGATTCGCCATTTTACCTTTCTTTTTTTCTTTAAAAAGTGCAAGTCTATGCACTTCTTATATTCTGCTGCTCAAATAATTTGATCCGTAATTCTCAACTGCCGTATGCCGATCATCAGACACCGTAACACGCTCAAAACTTTCTTCGGAAAGCGTAGAGCCAAAATTGAATCCTGTTGTTCGTAGCGAACAAGCCTTATACATCGCTAGATCGTGATGACGCGGGCGATTTTGTGTTGATTTTTTGGTTTTCTTTTGTGCTATTGACTATATTATTTTCCGGGGACGGGAAGCTTAGGGGCCAGCCAATCATATATATATTAATTTTGAGTGGTATCACACCAAAACATGGAATATGCGCGATATGTCTCAACGGACCTATCTGTCGAAGTTTACCCAGAGGTAGGACATAGAAGGTTTTGGGACGAAAGGACTCTCGTAGCTATGACAAGCAAATGATAGTTATACTTTCCATACTTTATTACTATTTCCCCATTAACAGAACCAGAGAAAAAATCCGAAACGATAACACGCTAACCGGGCATAACTTTTGTTCCGGGCTTAAAACACAACCCTTGATGTTAAAGCATATCTGACCCCTTTGTGATTCTTTTTTATAGTACTGTTGAAGGAATTGTTCACGGATAATTCTTGCATTTTCTCTCGACATGAATACGTCAGCTGTGATTAATAAAGACTATAAATAAAGCTTTGCGCAAGAAAATTCAGTTTTCGAAGCGTAACAAACTTGCGGAAATTATACCAGGAGGCGGTCGCGGTAGGTTAGGTGGAGACAAGGGAACGCGTGGAAAGAAGTGGCCATGGGCGGCTACGTATCAGGCGACGCATTGAAAGAATCGGGTTAAAGCATTTCGGAGAATAGAGACAAAACGATCGATAGAATAGGATGCAGTAGAAAAGAGAGATGTTATTAATAGGTCAAAAGGCCAAAAAGAGTTCCTAGTGAAGGCACTCCGAGAACCAAGTGGAATCGTTCCCGTCGCCAACATTTGTGACAGATGTACGGCGGGAATTTGAACGCGTAACAGTCCTTTCGGTTTTTCGAATTGTTTACCAAACCAATACACTTTTTTGTTCTTTTCGTTTTTATCGTGAATGATAGGTCTCAAGCCAGTTATTATAGGTGAGATAGAATCGTGATTTTTCTAAGAACGATTCCTTCAACGTGCGGTCTATAAACAAAAAAACTTGGGAACATCGCAAAAAAGGATATAATGGTTGCGGGGTATACGTATCTCGCGCCGTCCCGTAAAGGACTAACAGAGTACGAGCTACCGGAGGTGTGTAGTAGTAATAACACGGGTCCTTCGGTTTCTAAACCATCCCTCAACTTCCGCTTTCAAATGTTTCTCGTTGTGAGACATTTTGTCGCCCATGGTCGCTCCAAGGCGCCAATGGTTTTTGAATGGTCAATTCCTCGTATTTGATGTAGTCCCAATGGGGTACTCCCTTGGATGCGAAAGGCTTTAAAAGCCTCATCAGCAGTTTTATATGCAGCGTCTCTCATTTCAAGCGAGGTTTTATTCTCAATGAATCTTGGTTACTGGCTGAAGAGGTGCATCTTCACCAGTTCGCTTCAG